CAGCCGCCACTGGCAGCCAGGGTAGAGCTGTCAGGCCATAAGTGATGAACACCGCAGGTATGGCCAAGGGTCTCCTGCCATTTCCCTGAACCTAACGGTGGAGGCCCAGCGCGCCAACAAGGGCCACCCACTGCAGCTCATCCCAGCAGCACCGTGACTGGGTGTCACCAGGGTGGCGTGCCCAATGCTGCACTCCCTGATCCCCCCCTCAGGCGACACCACCATGTGCCACATCATGTCCACGCTCACCCACCATAAACAGGGGACATAAGCTGCAACTCCCTAATTTCGTGGAGGGGGGCTGGGAAATGGAGCCAGCGATGTCTGAGAAACAGGCTCTACCATCACATTTATTTGTGCAGTAATTTCCATGCCCAAAAGGTGAATTGTTTTCAAGTGTACCGTTCTCTTCCCATCTCAAATGTCCACCAAGTCCCAGCTTCCTCTGACTCTCTATGGTTTGTCATTCACCCCACTCCTGACTTGTTTCCCTGCTGGCTCCAAGGCCTCCTGCCCAGGCTCCTAACGAAAACTTATTTTAATGTTTTCCCCCACCAGTTTTTCCAAGCAGCCACTCTTCTCCCTCCGTGCTCCATCTCTTGATAGTGGTGTTTCTCTCTCCACCTTCTCTGTGCTTTTCCCTTGACACAGTGATTCCCAGCTGCAGACTTCAGTCAGATTTCGTTTTATTCTGACTCTTGCTTTTCCAGTATCTTCCTCCTCTTGTCAGTGTTCAGTCCTAAACTGCAGTGCCACCTACTCCCCAGATAGTCTCCTTGCCCCCTAGCAGCCTGCTCCCCTCCGTGGCCATTTGAGTCAGGATAGGCTCCTATGCCTGCCTGGGAGAAGAGGCGCTGGCAAGGCAGGGCAGAAGACTCCTGTTTCATTTCCTCAGTGCAGAAGAAATTGTCCTGGAAGAAAAGTCCTGCAGAGCTCTTGAAGAACCATCTGGGGTTTTGTGCAGCTGTGGTCTGTGGGAAAGCTGCATGAACCACTTGAACACAGTCAATAAAAATTAATTTGCAGAAGCTTTAGCAGCTACATTCCCTTATTGCCACACTGAGCTCATGTGAACTTTTAAGTTTCACACTAATACCTATGTAATGTCATGAAACCGCGGTATATCTTCAGGGCAGTAAAGAAAGATTTTTGGTTACACCCTCTCCTCCCAAGCATAGCACTGCCCTGATTATTAAAAAAATAACAATACTGAAAAACAATGGTACTCATCATGACCTGAGTCTCAAAAACAGTCACTATGATCTGACCCAAAGTGGCTATCTAGAATTTAATCTAAACAGGTCAAATATAGCAAACATTTCAAGCAACTGAAAACAGAATCTCGCAACGGAAACTGTTAGGCAATCGCAGCACAGATGCTGCTTCTGAAACCCTTCTCTGACAACAGTAAATTACAGAATGAAATAAATCTGGAAGTTCATATGCACTCTGTTTCATTTACATGTAGCTAGCTGACCACAAGTGTATTTAAATACCACAGGCTTTTTAAAATTTATTTCACAAATAGTGGACATTTCAAGTAAGTTACTCTGTGCACAAAAGGAGTGTTTCACAGCTTTGTTTCCTGAGCTATTCCAGAGCACAAAGGATCTAGACAGAAGTTCGTCCAATGTCTAACTTTCCCTTTTTCTGCAACCTCAGGTCAGTTTTGGATGGACTGCTGGAGGTCTATGGGAGGACACCATTGAGAAAGACTGTGGTCCAAAGCCATTTTTGCTGCTACAGATGAGGCCTCCAAAACCAGACGGAGCACCTTGTCTTTTCAAAAGCAGAAGGACTCTGTCTGCCAGGATACAGAGGTCTACTTGAGCAGGAGATGTGCTGGCGCATGTGGAAAGCTAAGCCCGATGCTGTAAGCCCTGGTGGCCAGCCCAACAGAGTACCAGTGGCCGCAGCAACAGCGGTGTGGCTGGTGCCAAGTTATAGTCTGACCTTCAAAGCAAGGCCATTGCCCACAGAATCTAAGTAATCCTCCAGGCATGATCTAAATTTTTATAGAAAGGGGATGAGAAGGGAAGGGGAAGGTTGAAGGGAGAGGAAGCCAGATGTGGAGGTTTAAGGAAGGAGGCAAGCATATGGTGATATTTCCCTGGTATATTCTCCCATTTTTTGCTATTT